AGTGTTTCATCACCAATTTCTATGCCAGGTCACATGTCAGCTGCCTGATAGCCCCAACAGTAAATGAGAATACTTCCATTTTGATAGGAATATGCTGGCAAAAATCCACCACTTCCATGAATTATTAGTCCTTTTTCGCTGATTATTTGAAAAAGTTCAAGTGGCTCTCAACTGCTGAGACATATTTGGTGAGAAACCATTCAGTTTGGTGAGAAACTGTGCAGTTAGTTGAAAATCTGGGCCTCATTAGATCAGCTACATTTTGAAACCCATAGGAAAAATTAAGTTACTTGTTTTATTTTTTGCATTAGAAATTGAGCAAGAAATTGATGGAAAGAATAGTTGAAAAGAGTAATCAATGAGGAAATATGATATATATAGAGTAACAAATTTACAACATAAAGATAAAGATTTTTACTTTTCCAATGATAGCATTTATGAAAAAGTAAAATTTCAAACCGAAAGGAATCTATTGAAAACCCCACAATGTTACACTAAGTAAAGAGAGAAGCCCACAGTTAACTTGTCTAAGGAAATACAGATGACTAGAAGCAGAGCTGTGATTAAAACTCAGATTTCTGGATTCAAATCATAAAACCCTGTGGTTGTAACCACTACTACAGAAAAGTTAGAAGAAATAAAAAATCACTGTCTCTTATTCCACCATCTACAGATTACTCATTGATTTACAGCCTTTTATCTGTGTAGATTTTACAGACTGAACTAGTGCTGTGCATACATACTGATGGTTAACAAAGCTAACATAGGAAAACTCATAGGTGAAAGGTGATGTGAAAGGGATTTGATGAAAATGACTCCTGCAGGCACCCTCACGCTTCTCAAACTAATAATGAGACACACAAGACTTTGTGGAATAGCAAAACTGTTTGGAATTCCACATTATACCCAGATCAGGGAGGAAGACAAATGGTAAGAAGGAGAATAAGGGAAGGAAAATGAAGAAGGAAGAAGAGAAGTGAATACAAGGCCCACAGTGCATGAGAAACTTAGGAGTAAATAAGTTGAGAGCTTGGGCTCTGGAGCCCATAATCTCTCTAATCCTCAGTTTTCTTATCTGAAAAGAAGATATAGTAATAGAACTGATTTCATACAGTTTTGAGGAGAATTAATTATCTAGTATATGTGACATTAGTACCTGCTAAGGGATTAGAAAGTATAAGCTGCTTTCCTTGCTGTTTTTAATATTGGGGGAAATGTCCACTCTCTTGATTTAAAATATGATTAAAAATCATTCCCATCTAAAATTTTGCTGCTTAAGGCATTGTTAACATCTTACTCTCTTTGTTCACATTGAGTGTCCTTTGAGATACAAGAGTCAGAGGCACAACGCAAACCTAGAGTAAGCAGCAGAGGTTATTTTTTCCTCTAACTAGGAAGTGGAGGAAAGGTGAAGGCCTCAGGGTCAGCTAGAACAATCGGGGATGCCATCTGGAATCCCTCTCTTCTCCTTGCTTATCTCTGCACATTTGATGAGTTCTTTCCTCTACAGGCAGGCCTTCTCCATGTGGCAGGGAACATAGCCATTATCAGAGCTGGGCTCTTACTATCCCAGTTCTCTGACAAGCGAGGAACTAGAGCTTCTGACCAGTTAGGCCACCCTAACCAGCAAAAGAACCAAATGACAAGCAGCCCAGGGAAGCTTTCCATTCTGGCCTGATGTAATTGATCAGGTGCCCATAGCTGATCCACTGTGGCCAGAAAGGGGTGGGGTAGTATGATGGGAGCCCCACAGAAGCAGCTGATGTCCTGGGAAAAGTAGTTACCAAAGAAAGGAAGTCACTGTTGTCAAAAGAAGAAGGGGAAGTGGAACTGGCAGAGAATGGTAGGTAGACAATGGGGCACAGGAATGAGGGAGGGAGAGAATGAGAACGGGGAGAGAGAGCTGTGTTTATTTTGTAAAGGAGGGATTTATTTTTTCAAAGAGAACGCGTCACACACCTAGGCACAGAAGTTCCCTCTGGAGTCACTGGGCGTTGGCACTGAAGGATTTTAAAGGTGTGTACCACCTTGGACACGCGTAGTGTTCATTGTTGACTGTGTGCCCGGCCTCTGGCCTCTGATCCTCTTTCTAAGCTTCAGTTCTGTGCTTTGGATATCAGTGCCGTAAAGTTCAGCTGTTAAAACTGAAGAATCGTGCTTCGTTATGTCTACTTCATCTAAGACTGGAAAGGAAAAAAATCCCTCTCATTAGTTGTATCCATTTCTCTCTGCTATGCATTTCCCTTTTTGTTGTGTTGCTGTTGTTCACTGTTCTCCTGAAGAGTGTGACATGTCTCAGACTTCTCTATATTATAAATCTCATTTTAAAAGCGTTGCGTCAAGGATATCTGCCAACGACTTTTGTTTTCTCTGCTTTTCACTCTGTCGGACTGCTTTGGCAAAGGAGAATAATATTACCTTACCATGTAAAACATGGTTAATGGCTTTTAAAGAATTCCCCAGCAACTGAATAATGAGCTGCTAAAAATATTATTGGTGCCAAAGGATCTGGATATGTCTGTTCCATTTATTGTTTGTTTCTTGTTTCATCGTGACTAAGTGCTCACAAAAGGCATAAAACCCCAAACCCCTAGGGCATGTGGTGTTTGAGGATGAAACCATATATTAACATATTCAGTTCCATACCTAGCACGTTAAGATGGTGGGTTTAGCATCAACAATGAACAATGATGAATGTCTACAATATGCAAGATGCTGAAATTATTAAGGAAGTTGATTTCTATTGAATGTAAGGAAGTCGTGTCCTACCATCTCTATTGAGTTCGGTTGAGTTGCTTGGTAATGCTTAGTCTGAGGAGTGCTGGAAGTCTTGCACCGAGAGCTTTTAACTTGTTCTGCCTGTTTGAATAAGAGTTTACATTTCTCAGAAAAAAGAAGATGGTGTCTGTGTCTTAATTGGAGCTTCGCCATTGAGAAGCCTGACATAACAAAATTATTTATTTTTGTCTGATAATAAATTATTTGAAAAGTTTTTTCTTAAAAATTGAAAAAATCTATTTAGGAATATACTGAGAAGATCTGGGAAACACAATGGAAATGGAAATTTAAGATGCTTTGTTTCTCATTGGAAGCAAGAGAACTCAAGAAGAGTAGCATCTTAACTCCCCTACCACCAGCCCCTTCTTCACCCTCGCCAGAGTTGAAAATTCTGGACCCTTCCCACTTGGTCTGTGCTCAGGCCATCTGGCTTCCCCTTTAGCAGGGAGCTCTCACTTCTCCCATTCCTTAATGCAGGCCACTAACTGCCAACTGTCCTTGAATGCCAAGGGCTTCAGTCCGACTGAGGCTCTATGTCTTCTTTGCCAGTGGCCTAATTGCTAGGATTTCAGAGATTCAAAGAATTCCTGACTTAGGGATTCTTAACCCTTTTGTATGATCACAGGACAGATGACATTCATATGGGACCACCTTTCGTGGGCCCAGAGCCAGGAGAAATTCCTGGGCTGGTAGCTAAAATCCCAGATCTTTTTCTCCAACTCAGCAAATCATATTGGAATTCCACTGGATAAGAGCAACTTCATCCAACAAGATGAGCTTGAATCTGCTTTAAATTTGTGTGTGTATGTGTCTGTATTATTCATACCCAAAAAAACTAGTCCCCAGAGATGGTCAGGGAGACTTCCCTGGGCCTCCTACCCCTGTACAGTTTCCTGCTTCTGCAGGAAGTCTGGCTAATGTCTAGGAGACACTGAATGCATTCGAGGCAGAGTTCTCAAGAAAGAAACACAAGTACCATCCCAGTATTGTGATTTTAGGAAAAGAAGCTGGGTAGCTTTTTAGCTGCTTCTGGAGACCCAACCTGAATCCACCACTTCCTGCTTGCAGAATGAAAATTTATATTACTTATCCACTGTGACATCAAACAAGGAATGAATAACACAACTTATGAATTTGGGGCTGGGGATATTTTGTGACAGTTGCTGAAGTAATTTTTTTTTTAAAATAAAAATATTTTTTGCCACTGACCGAACATCAGGAAAATGCCAAACTATGGGCTAGTGCAAGCTCTTATTGTTGTCGTTATTGTTAGTTGCCATCAAGTCGATGCCAACGCATGGCGACCCCGTGTGTGCAGAGTAGAGCTGCACTCTGTAGACTCTTCAAGGCTATGTGACCTTCCGGAAGCAGGTCACCAGCCCTGTCTTCCGCGGTGCCTCTGAGTGGGTTTGAACTGCCAGCCTTTTGGCTAGTAGTCGAGCGCTTAACCATTTGCACCACCCAGGGACTCCACAGCACAAACCCTTAACTTTTGTAAATGTAGAGTTTTTATTAAAATGCTGTTGGATAAAAATTATGACTTTTCTTTATATCAAGTACTTGAAAATTATTACATCAGTAATGTAAGGGAGAATCATTACATGTTGATAATGAAAAAATTGTAGAAAATATTCTTTATACCAAGCTGTTCTTCATTTGTGGATTTCAATATATACTACTCTTCAAATCATGTCACTTGAAATACAGCATTTTTGCATTTGGGAGACTTCTGATTAAAAATGTTTCCGTTAAAAAAAAAAATGGAAAATAATCCTGTGCTTCAGCATTTGTGAAATGAAGACATCGTATGTAATGAGTTGGAACTTCTGAGAGTCTTCTACCTTCAAATATGTTGCACAGAATTGAAAGTTGAGTTTTAGAGGGTGTAACTTACAATGTGCTATCTCATTATTGTGACAGGAGAGTTTGACTCACCTTATTATCAGCAGGACACACTCAGAATTTAGCAGCCTGCCCTTTTCAGAGCCCAGTGTGCATGGTGGTAGAGTGCTTCGCTGCACTGCAGGGAATAACTGCCCACATCCTGTGTGGACCGCCCTCTCAAAAGGCCATTGGGGGTTGCAGGTGGGGACGATGCATTTAAGGGAAAACCAAGTAATGCAACTTAAATGTAAAACCAAATATTTGGCATGGGTGTGCAAAGACGTGAAATTATCTGAATTCTTGATGTGTGTTAATTGTATTTCTTCCTTCTTTTATAGGCTCCACATGGGAAAAGACATTCAGGCAGATTGGCTTTGAAAGGTAAAGCACTATTCAGCATGCCTCCACTTTTAGCTACTAATGGACGATTTTATTCAAAGTAATCAATGGTGTTTTATACATCAATAGTCTTGCCACCACTACTTCAGTAGCTGTGTGACCTTGAGCATTTTGTCCCTCTGAGCTTCAATTTCTTTGTAAAATAGAGCTTTCAGTAGTTGGCCTACACACAGAGTGGAAATGAAGATTAAGTGGGACAATCTATATGAAAATGCCTTTCTCAACTATAAAGCAGTTTAAAAGGTAAGTTGTATACTTAAGAGAATTACAGGAAATGGCCAGAGCTATTTATAACTAGCGTTAATGCTCCCCTAGCTTCATTCTCTTCATATACCATATTCAGTTCTATGGTTTTAATCCAGGGAAATTTATATGTATATTGATATCTCCACAATTATTAAAATCCTTAGATCTTATTAGCCATAAATAAAAAAAACTGACATCATGTCACTCTTAACTAAAAATACTTCGACACAGGCGTCTCCTCAAACAGAAAAAAAAGAAAAATGATTGGCTCAGAACGTCAGAAAATGTGGAGGCATGTCAACAAAGTCACTAAACAAGCTGCCCCTGCAGTCTGACGACAAGCCTTCAACAAATCTCTCCCGGCAGCTTTTAGGGCCTTGTATTGAACTTTCAATATAGAAACAGTTACTGAAAGATAGAAAAGTAATTTTAAACTTTTTTTTTAACTTTAAAAGTAGATTTTTCGTAATATTGAAAGTGTGTTTTACGTGTATTGATCAAGCTGACAGAGTACTTAGAGCATATGAAAGAAATATTAAAATACTTTAAAAATGCATTTTTTCCTGGTAACAACAGAGAATAGTTCTATCACCAGGCCCAGTGTGATAGCATTTCCTTTACCATTTTTTAACTGATTCAAAGATTTATTTATTTCTCTCCATACACTTCCACTAACATCAGCACAATCACTTTTAGGTCTCATAGTAAGTTCTCACAGATAGACACACAGACGGATAGCTGCCATCAAGTCAACTCCAACTCGTGGAAACCTTATGTACAACAAAAGGAATTGTTGTCTGGTCCTGTAGTATCCCCATGATCTCTGTAAGTTCGAGTCCATTGTTTTAGTTCTTATGCCAGTCCATCCCACCGAGGGTCTCCCTCTCACTCTCTGGCCCTCTGCTTCACCAGACATGATGTCTTCCTCCAGCTGTTTGATCCCATTTGATGACATGTTCTCTTGTGAGCCATAATGTTTTCATTGGTAAATTTTTGGAAGTAGATTACCAGGCCTTTCTTCCCAGTCTGTCTTAGTCTGGAAGCTTTGCTAAAGCCTGTCCACCATGGCTGGCTACGCTGGTATTTGAAATACCTGTGACATAGCTCCCAGCATCACAGCAACACAGAATCTACCATAGTTAGTTTAAAGCTTGAAAGGGTTGGCTTGTAATGGTCAACTCCCACAGGCCAACTTAAAATAAAGAATGGAAAATCGTGTGCAGGTTCATTTTCAGTGTGAAATCTTTTCCCAAAATATCTTTCTCTTGATTTGCCTTTCGATTACGAAAACTTGACAAAATAGCAAAATCAATGCCATATCCGTCAGCCAGCTTCAAT